TCCTCTACCTGGTAGCTCTGCTCTCCCTCTCCTTGACTATCAGTCTATGTGTTCCAGTGCCACGGAAATCATTTTCCTCTTGTAACTTCACTTCTCTCTCTTCACTGAATAACTTAATTAGACTTCCACTGCTATTCCTGCAGAGTCAGTTTTCTCTCCTTTTCCATCCTTTCCTTTTTCCCTGCCTTTGCACAATGGATGTGAGACTTCATGGCACCTCCAGCTGTAATAGCCACAAGAGCAGAACAGACCAGAAACTGGTTTCCTTCTACGAGTTCATGGATAACCAAGCCAACCTGTGACAGGCCAGCACAACATGATCAGCTTAGGAAGTCAGCACAGAGTGCTCGTGAGCAAGCTGAGCCCTTCGGCGGCTGTGGCACAGGCCTGGATGACTTTACAGGGCCTTCCAATGTCATATACATCAAATAACTGTTGTAGGAGCCAACCTCAGCAACACGTCCGCTTTCCGTCAACACACTATGAATCTCCTTTCTTGCTTCTCCGGCTGACCTAAAGGCTAGCTAGTCTATGGCCCCTTTCCATGGCTTGATTTTCAATTAAGAGATAATGTCAGTGAGGAGCACAGTTCATCAGATAGTGTTCCCCTGCTTTTGCAAAAGGCAGAGATGCAGTAAGCAGAGGTCAATGAGTGAAAATCTGTTTGCCTGGCTGTAAGATTATATAATATGTTAGACTAATTTTACTTCATTTCATGTTCACATATATTAGTGCGGCTTTTGTTATATACTTATCCTTATGTAAGTTACATCTGCTCTTTTATTCACTCAGCCATGTTTGCTGTGCTTTCAGATTTATGAAACAGGCATTCCACTGAACTCAGCAAATGATGGGCATAATAACTTATCTAAATTGCAAAGTATGTGATGCCCTTGAGGTAAACTCAGATGTGAAGGTTTTATGAAGTGTCTCACATGTAGAAGCGCAGGGAAATGTTTATTTGCCAACTCATGTCTGTCCTGTGGCTGCTTAGATGATGTTAAGAGGATTCTATGAAACCACGATGAAGTCCTAGGGGCTAAATGGAGGAGAGAAGCAGAACTGCATGATCATCTTCATAAAGGAAGCAGAGCCATATTGGCACTCACTGCCTTTTCTTTCCCTGTCGAATTTCTGGTTGATAGGCTCTAAAGTGTTTCTTTACTTAATGACTTGCCTCTTGCTGTAACAATATGGAAGAACTTCATTAGTATTTATGAATTTATTCGTACAAGGTAGAAAAGTAATCACTCCTTTCTTTGTGTTACAAAAACAAAGAGAATTGAAGGCTCTATAAAGGAAAGGAGCAGCCTTAGGGCTGATCCTCTAAACCCTGTAGTTGCTATAAAGTCATTAGGTGTCTACATTTCTGCAACGTCCATGCAAAGACTTGATTCTCCGAGTTATCCAGGGTTGAGCTCTACTGCTAGCATTGGTCTTCTGTGCATTGCATGTTTCACTTTAAATTGTGTGTAACTCTGCCAACAAAGATGCTAATCAGTGTTGGCCAGGCCTGGATATTACGGTAGCTCCCCCATTTCTTCAACATTCCAATGGCTGGAGACAATTCTGGGAGAGAGTCTAATTATCAGATGAGTTTCCATCAGTCTATCTAGAAAGTCTCTGGTCATTGCTACAGAGCATCGTGTGCCTGAGGTTACGGCAAGTTGTCACTTGTCCCTCAACCCTTCCACCTGATGGAAGTGCTGGTGACATGGATCACTGCTGGCTGTCTCAGGTCAACAGCCCGGGCGCAAATTTTAGCTAGGGGACTGTAAGGAAAAGTGTCCATGAAAACCAGGAGAATGGACATGAAAGGGGTTTTGAAAGCTGCCTCTGGGTGTTCTTCAGGGATATGCATCTAACTCATGCGTAAAGGGGATTTTTTTCATTACTTTAATCTCTCCTAGGTCAGTCCTCCTTGTGCCTGGAAAGTCTGTGTCCTGTCAGTGCTGAGAAAGGCATCGAGGCATTTCCTTTGCAGTGCATCCGCTTTTCTCAAACTATCTACTAAAGTATTTTTTGTTTAATTTTATTATTTTCTTCTTTTTTAAAAATTTAAAACATGCCGAAATAACTAGCCCATTTGACAAATCAGTTCATTTAAAAGCATAAATCTGTCAGTGGATTGGATGAGCAATGCAGGACCCAAAACACTCAGAACTACAGATACATTTCTACTTTGTCACTGGTGTAAATTCAAAATTGCTCAGATTAATTTCAAACTAATTTGATAAACCTTCCACTCTGAGCAAAGGAGCCAGGCCTGAGTGCCAGACTTGGTGCCCTTGTATGTCATGCTACAGCCTAAATGAATTTTTTTACGGCTCACTTAGAAAATAAACTCTGAAAACAGTGTTTTGTAATGGGAATTCTGACAGAGCCTTTAGCCATTTGGAAAATAGGCACAGCTATCATTCTGCTGCATCGAAGAAAGTTTTTGAGTGCTTTTATTAGGCGCAACAGCTGTTTCTACTGCAAAAGCCAAATTTCCTTGGTGGTAGCATAGCTGTCAGCTTTTCTTCAGTTTTGCATTTATAGCTGCGTGCATAAACACCTTTATGCTCTTTTGCACTTTCCAATGTATGTAAATTAATTCAATAGCATAAATAAAAATAAACACCTTGTAACTAGATCTGTATGAAGGTCCTTTGTAGGGGCCTGCAATCACTGTCACGCAATGAAAGAATTGAGAAATTCTGAACTTTTCTAAGAAGTTCTAGCATATAGAAGTTCCGTGCTGTAATCCATGACAAGTCAGCTTTTCATCATCTGCCTTAATCCTCTTTTTCATTTGCTTATTAGGGTTCTTTAACCTAGCCTATTGTTCTTAATTAGGGCTGGTGGAAAAGCTCCCAGAATGTTTGTCTTTTTTTTCTGCTAAAAAAAGAAAATTTCTATGAGCACATGCTGAGTATGCTGAAATTTAAATTTCAGAAGAAATTTACTTTTCAGAAGAAAAGTAAAATGAAAAAAGAAGTATTTGATGTTGCTTTTCATTTCTCTATTCTGAAATAAAACAGAAATATAATTTTATACTATGAAGCAAACAGTAAGTTCCACCTGGAGCAGGAAGTCTTGTGTCAAGTACAGTTATTCAATTGTCAAAAATGAAATGCAAAGCTATGTTCAGGCTGCAAACAAATTGTTAAGCACCACATTCCAAAATGGCACAGAGCAGATTTTCAGGGCTTCAGTGAATTTTATTCCTAAATATAGAATTTTGCACAAATTCAAGTGGCGTAAAGTGGGATGTCAGTCCATTTTTAAATGTTAGCTTGATTTCAGTTAAAGTAAAAATAGCCTGAGAAATATAAGGAATGTACATACATATATACGTGCATACATATATATATAAATACACTGAATGAAATACTGTGAAGTTTTGCTAAAATTACAGTGATCTGTTAGCTAGTGTCTTTTGAAATGTATGGGAATCTTTACTACCAGCAACAAAGTTTCAATGAGTATCAGTAAATATAAATAAATAAATAAAAAGTATTTAAATATATAAATAAAATATTTATCAATAAATATTTGGTCCAACTTGCAGCCCTTCTCAGCACCTTCTATTGGACTGTGGTTGTTCAGAGCTCTGGAAATCAGGTGGGTTATTTAAACACCTAACTGCAGATTAAAATATTTACTTTAGATAGAAATTTTGGAAAAGAAATTGTCTCTGGTACATAAGTCCATGCTCTGAGAATGGGGAGAGGAGAGCAGGGAATTGGATATTTGTAGATATGTCGCTGGCTCTTTGCATTTTTACTGCTATCCAAGTTTATTAAGCATGGCAAGAAATAGGTATAGACTTGCATAAATACATGATTGTGTGAGAGATTTGGAAAATCTCCCAGTGCTCTGCAAGAGCAACGCGTGCATTTATCATTTGTCCTGTCTTAGGAGCGTTCTGCGATGAAAGCGAATCTGTTTATTATATGGGGCATTTAGGCTTTAGTTAGCTAAAGACTATCTGTATTTTGAGAACTTTATTATGAGCCACCGCTCTGACGTCTCAGCAAGGCTTTGCACTGAGCTAGACTGCGCCATGGACACATTGCCTGTTGAAAACCTTCATTCAAACAACTTGTAAATATTGATTCTGAAAGTACCTTGGCCCTCAGCTGTGGTCACTGGATTGCTTCGGGCACCTCTGTCTTATTTGCTTTAACCAGAAAAGCTCATCTTGCCTAAAATAACAATAAAAGTATAGATGCAAATTGCAAAATAGTGGTGGGCTGGGTTACAGAGGCTCGAGCAAGGGGCCCCGTGTTGGTGGCACCGATGATCATGGTAAATCTTGGGGCTTGGCAGAGCGCTATGCATTAGTGCAACGCTTGGAATGTTTTGCAAAACCTGCCCTTGCTGGCAATGCGTTACTCCTGTTTTCTCAAAGAGCCTGGGAGTCACTGGTGCCAAGTGCCCAGAGCTTTGCTTTGCAAGGCTCTGGGAAAGGGGATAGTCTGTCGCATCCCAGCCTGACCTGTGGTTCCTTACATCAGGTCCAAGTCACCTGTGCAGAGACCCAGCGCGAGACCCCTGCCTTTCCCAAATACTTTAAGAATTAGACTGACCGCTTGCTGGGCATTCACATGTCTCTACAGTTCACATCACCAAAGCCTCACATGAGCTCCAGGACGGGAAATTTGCTGGCCTGAATTTTATTGCCTATCAAAACTCCTTCCCGCACCAGCAATTAGTGATGATCCCGTATGACAGAGATGGAAAAGAAGTGGAGATAGAGCCAGAACGAAGCTATTCAGTTCCCCCATTTGATAACCATATGAGACTATTAACACGGACAAAGATCAGCTGCAGGACTTAAAGCAAGAGATAAATACACGTGCGTGGTCAGGGCCTGAGTGGTAACAGCGTTCAAGATGTACCGGCACGGTTCAAACGGCACCTACTCTTTTCTGCAGCTTGAACAGACACGACTCAGATGGACGTTTACTCCCCAAGGAACAATATACTCCTCTGCCCTTAGCTGCAGGTTTTACCTTCTGAATTTTATTCCACACACGTTCTTTATCACTTCTTCCTTCAAGGGTGTCCATGGCATCTGCCATTAGCGACTGCAGCTGTGGTAGCAAGATAAAAATTATCAGTGTGGAATTCGCACAGAAATAACTTCTCTAAATACACAGATTAAAACCTAATTAAAAAATCATTTGTACGCTGATGATTTTATTACTCATCTTTCACACAATGAGCACTGCCACCTCATCTCCGCTTCAGCCATTACACTGTATTATGGTGGTTATAAAATACTTAACAATGGGGGGAAAAAAAAAAACTCTGGAAAAAATTGTATTCGAGCCTATAGATTTTAATGTGGCAAATGTCCATATTTAGCAAAGGAAGACTTGGACTGTAAAGAATAAAGGCTCCATATTTCATTATTTAGCTCTCTGGGTTATTCTGTGTAGTACATGAATGCTTTTTAGTATTTCCTCCCAAGGCTAATATATCATAATTTAAGGCAGCGTGTAAAACCTCGCAAGAGGACAACGCTAACGCGGAGAAGCTTTTACTGTAGCTGCAAGTATCTGGCTCATTTTCCCTCTTTTCACTCTCTTTCCCTTTGACAGAGCCCCTTCCTGCCCAGCACCCAGCGTAACAGAGCATAAAACAAGGCTGACAATTTCTAGTGCAAACTATAAAAAGCAGCTGTGGAAAAATACATGCTAATCAGTACTTAGGGCTAGAGGGAAAGGCCTGAAATTCCAGCTAGCAGAGGCATTGCCTCATGCCAGGATGCTTCCTAAGCCCTGCTTGGGTTGCACTTCATTCGGTAACTCGCAGAGGTGGCAAATAATGCCGGGAAGAAAGAGGGAGGAACTTGTGTTTAATGCAAGCTCTGTGTGATATGATATTATGCTGTACTAGGTCTCCTCTGAAATGTTTAGCTGGTAAAAAGTGAACCCGAAGGAGCAGGTTTTAGTGTCTCTTTCCAGATTTGTTTGTCTTTTTGACTCTGGATAGGCCAGGCAGCATGAGCTTGAGCATCACGTAGAGACCGGCTGTTCTTCCTCTGGCATCTAGATGGTGCAAGAGCCTAATATGAGTGCAGAGGCCAGGAAACCCAAAATGCCCATGCTGAGACACTTCCAAGATAAAACTCCTCCTCTATCTGCCAACATCAGGTAAAGGAGGCACCAATATCCTTTTGCATCTCTCAATAATCTTGTTGCAGTCGGGTCAGCTCGTGCTCGCTGTGCGTGTGCCACCACTGAGTTACATCTCATTGGGCCAAGCAGCTGATGAAAATGTCTGCTTTGAAGTCTTAGGCATTGATATTCATGAAAAATAAAACATGAATTTCTGCCACTGACTTTAAAAGAAGCAAGAACCTGTCAGAAGTTTTCCATCTGACCACTTTTGTGACAGATAATCTCCTACGAATTCAGCATAGACAGCCTGGAGATTAAGGGTATTAAGGGCAGGAGAGTGAAGCACAAATCCTGCTGTGAACCAGCTGGAGCAGGACCTGGTCAGGGCAAGGGGAGTTTCCTTGGTCCCATCTGGGGGGACAGTCTGGAGCTATTCAAGCTCTTCAGGAGCCAGGACTGGGATATTGATCAATTACCCCCAAGGACCAGTATGGAGATTTCGTTGCTGTGGGCAAAAAGTTAAAACAGAAGAAAACCTCCCAGTTAAAATTTCACTGAAACTGATACACCCCAGGGCAAAGTGCCCAGTGTGTATTTTGTATTTTGCTTTTAATTTTTATCACTATATTTGACCAGCTTTGCTGGCAGAGAAGATGTGACTGCTCGTGAGCAGGGCAGTTGGCACAGTCATTCTCCTAAAGCTGATCTTTTTGGGAAAATCCCTTCCTAGGAAAAATGCTGCTTTTTTTTTTTTTTTTTTAATGTCTTGGCCTCGTTCAGTTTTAAACTAGAGGAGATTTCCGGTTTTTTAACAATCTTTCATCTTGATTTTACAGTGTACAACCATGGTGATAGGGCACTCGTAAACCTTGGAAATATTTTTTTGAGGGTTTTCCCTGCTGCTTACATTCAACTGTTCAAACTAACCGAAATCTTTATTCTCCCAGGATCTATGAATAAATACTAACTGAAAAAGCCCTCAGTTGAGATTTTCCTCACCATAGATTAGGACTCTATTTATTTAGTTGCAGGAAGACATTTACAGAGGAGAGTTTATAACTGAAATGCCTTTGGGACCCAGGCTGTATCAGTGCAAATTGCACTGTTATAAATTCAACGTGTTTTAAACTTTATACAACTTATCCTGTATGTGATAATAAACGTCTGGCATCTTTAGCATTTTCTAACCCAACAATTTAACGGGCTTGCGTTGCCATAAAGTCTTATCTCAGTTTTACCAATTTAAATTCAGAATGACCTCAGAGGAATTACTTTAAATTTATATTAGTACAAGAGATTAAAAATCGGGCCAGCTCTGCTTCCTTCTTGGAAAAATACCTTCTAAATACTTGGATGTTTTTTAGCAATGTTACTGAATAGTGGGAGACAAGCACAAGCGGCTGCAGTGTTCATTGAAGGGCATTGAATCATGCCAGTCCCACAAGTGGTTATTCCAGCCTGGATCCCAGTGAGGAGTAGGACACATTAGCCAAACAAGGGGGATGTTTTGCCCCTGTATGTCCTTGGATGTCCTTGGATGACTCAGTTGTGCCGAACCTGCTATGGGCAGAAATGTTCTGGGCTTGATGCAGTTGCAATATGGTTGGGAAGGAGCCCACCGTGGCAAGGGAAGAGGCATGTGCTGCGCTGGCTAGTGCTGAGGAGGAGGTTGAAACCCAGTGATCACCCCCTGGTAAATCCACTTTGGAAACTCTTGCTTGCAGCCTTGTGCCTTAACCCCATGGGGCCCGAAACTGGCTACAACATCCCAGCTGCAAAGCATCCTAGCCTCTGCTTTCACATGGAGATTAAAGATGCAGTTTGCAACAGGATGAAAGGACAAAGGAAAATAAATGAAAGCTGAATTAATACATTTTAATGCTGTGGACAGGCATTTTAATGCTGGCAGAGGCATGCTGCCTTTTTTTTTTTTTAAATCATTTTTACCTTTGCCTCAATAACCGTGCATGAGCATCCCCACTGCAAGATTTACAATCTGTCCCTGAAATCTCCCAGATCCTCGTTCTGCCAAGTCCTACCCCTAAGAGACTAAAGACCTTTGTATTAGGTAGCCTAGAGCCTTCTCCCAAAAAGGTTTCTGGGAGGTCAGGCTTATGATTACTACATGACAAGATATAGGCAGCAGCATAATAGCCCTTGCCTGAGCTGCGATGCACTGAAAATATTGGACCCTGGAGAAAACCTCTAGCTGAAATATGTACCAATAACTCAAGACCCTTCAGTCAGCCTTGAAATGTGGCACTACTGAAGTTTAATGGTAGAGACTTGCATCGAAAGGCTCTTTTAAGAGCAGTTTCCCTGCAACGTGTTTTCCCCTTATCTGGACTGAAGCCTGTCAATTCCCTCCAGCTGTGGCAGGATGTTGCTGGTCTTCCCTAAAGTCGCCCTGTGAAGCCACAGCTCTGCATAGCTCACGGGCTCTGCTGGACCACAGACAAGTGCCCAGGGATTGGCTTGGGGAGAACAAGAGATTTTAGTGCATTGCATTTGGATCATTGAAACTGGACTGCAAATAAATGCCGTGGAGGCTGTGGGAAGATTTTTTTGGCTGTTGTGAGAGGTTTAAAACCTATAGGTACTTGAGCTCCTTCCCTCCCATGCCAGAAATCTCAACATTTGGATGTAGGGATAACCCTACACCTGCATCACCTTCTACCTGCAGGTTATCAATAGAGTGCCAAGATGTTAGTAGATGTTAGAGACTCCAGCCTCACAACGACCCCGCTAATAACACTATCCTAAATTTATGAGGAAAAACAACAGTGCAGAAGCCATTATAGGTATTATATGGATTTGCTCAGAGACAGGGAGCAAGTCGCAGGTGGAGTCAGGAGTGAAAAATCTTTCCTCTCCTAATTCCCCACTTCTCTGCTTTTAATTATGAGATTCTGCCTCTTTGGCTGCAGGTGGCTTGTGTTGTTAGGTATGTTAAAGTAGCACGATCTGAATAATTGCAATCATTTTTCCATACTGATATGGGGAGGTTTGGGGAAAAGAAGAGGCTTTAAAAATATGTGTGCAGATGCTGGCTCTATGGAAGTTATCCTTGCAGGTGATGAGCAGCTCCTCCGACAAGGCACTGTGGCAGGATTTTGAAGCCATTCCCCATGTCCACACGCTCAAAACTGGCGTTCAGAGCCAATAACAGTGCAATCTGCTGCCCCAAACTTCTCCTCCTTGGCTTCCTGCCTGCGGAGGCCAGGATGAGGATTAGAAACAAATACTTACCAATTCAGCATCCTGCTGACTGATGTCCTGCAGGTAGGGGATGGTAGCGAGCTCAGCCATCGCTTGATTAATCACCTGGGACTCTTCGGTGGCTTGCTGCAAGCAGCCGAGCAGGCTGGCGTACTGCAGCTTCTCTATCACGTGCGAACACGCGCAGAAACGGTCCTGTTCCCTCGGCAAAAGCAAGCGGGTTAGAGGAGAGCCACAGAAAACACCCTTATCCTTGGAGTCTGCTGCCTTGAGGCTTATCATCAAATATATATGCGCTGGTAATGCTACAAGCAATATGGCATCAGCACCTTTACGATATAATGCTTCTGACAATTATAAAGAGGGGAAAAAAAGGCTTTCTTTACACAATCTCTCTAGTAGTACTAGAAGAATAAATACACAGTTATAATATATATGAAGGAGAGGCAGCAGATAACAAACACGAATGCGATGTTTTCATTTGGAAATGGCTTTGCCATAATCCCCTCTGTTAAATATTATGTGACTTTTATGGATTTCTTTTAAAGTTTCAGTGGAGAGGTTAAGGCAACTGTGCAATGTGTAAACCTATGGTTTGTTTGCAGACTAAGGACACCCCAAGTGTTCAAATATATAACCTCGGTGTACTAAAACTCGCAGAGGTGGTCTCTGCTCCTCAAGGCAGCTAGGCACACGGGTAGTTTTAAGCCTGTGAATCCAGAAGCTTGGCCAAGTGCTTGCATAAAATCTCAGCACCTGCTGAAGTGTTTGATGGATGGCAGCCTTAGCACCATATTTTCAAAAGTATTCGGATGCCAAAAATGCAAATAAGCACCCTACTGAGATATTCAAAAGCAATTTGGCCTAGATTCTCCAAGAGACGTAGCCCTCGCATACCCGAACACTCAACACTTCTGAGTGAAATTTCCATTCATTTAATCAAGGTTTTTGAATGTATTTAAATGCCTGAAATTCAAAATATTGGCATAGATTTTCAAAGCTGCTTCCAGTATTTTTAATAGACCTTTGTTCTGGCAGTTACATACAGTGGCAAGCTGAGGCTGCAATCTACAGCCGTTTTGGTTCCTACGTAGATGATTCTAAATCCAATCATGCAGTGAAAAACCTGGAGAGAAAGTCTTGAATAAAATTTATTTTTTCAGTAGAGCACATCCTGTTTTTTTTTAAATGGACTTTTCTTTACAAAAATCTTGACCTTAACCTTTTCTTGGTTTTGCAAAAATTTGCACTACAGAAATATCCTCAAGTGCTTTTGGAAATTGTTATCAAAATGTCTATCAAAATAATTCACATATTTAACCTAAGAATCTGATAACAATGCTGTTATTGCTTTCTATACCTCATGAATCCATCACGAAAAAGAAATTTGTTTTTCTTTTAAAAGGAAAAAATACAAATAATCACAGTATAGCTAATATAGCCATTTTAATAGCATAAAATAAAAGGCCTCTGAGAAATAAAGGCAGGAATTTATGTATGATCTGGGCGGTTCATATACTAAAACAACCAAAGAAGAAAGATCCAAGGCAATGAGCTGTTATTTCCATCAGCTGAGGGAAAGACCCCGTGCACTTGCACAGGAAGGAGGAGCTATGGGGAGCAGTCTCAGCAATATTGCCCGTGCTCCCACTCAGCTCTGTTTGGAGAGGTTAGTTCAAACCAAAGGATCCTGGAGCGGAGATGCCAGCGTGGTGGAAGACCATCTCTTCTGAGAGAATTGTGGTTTGATTAGTCTCTTAATGAAAATGCCAAGAGCTTTTTAGCCATCTCAATATATATACTGAGGGCTAAATTCCAAAATTGAAAAGGGAAGGAGAGAGATAAAAGACAATGATAACAGGAGGATCACTGTGTATAAACAGGTACAAATAAGACTGGGCTGGTGATTCTGTTTCTTGAGCATCTGAAATATGTTTCAGCAAAAGTAGAAATGACAGAAAGCCTAAACAGTCCTGAGACCTAGAGTGGATTTTTCTCTGGTTATGACTAGGAAGTGACCATATACTCAGAGGAGGTGATCTGACATGAGGAGCCAGAACCCTTCTGGTCCCATGTTCTCTTGAACCAACTCTTAGAGGGGAGATTGAGGTAACCTTTTTGCAACCTATTTTTATCAAATGAAAAGATGTTTTCTGAGGACCCGACCTAGAGTGAGAGACCAGCAAGAAAAAAGCTCTCTGTGACCTCTGATACGCTGAACTGTAAGTCTGACACTGTAGAGTTAACGTGGCACAAGAACAAGGAAAGAAATGGGTCCCCTTCTCCAGGTAAGCATCAGTGTTTGAAAGCCTGAGAGCTGTGTCCCCAGATACGTCTGTGCTCATTAAAATAAGGAGGAGCAATCAGTTAATGAGAGAGAAAGAGCTCTTATCAACATGAAATAGTCACGCAGCATTTTAGATACAGCAAAAGGTTCTTCCCTGCTATTCTTGAAAGCCACCCAAACCCCCCCTCTTTTCTTTTCTTTTTTTTTCTTTTTTTCATGCAAGCATTAAGAAACAAGTATATTGAATCATCAGCTAAGAAAGCAGGTAAAAATTCACTCTCATTAAGCTGTGTCTGTTGGGGGCAACTCCTGTGATTAAGAAAGAGGAGACAAAGAGAAAATTCTTTCCTTGCTTGAGTCTCTAGAAAAATGAGAGAACCTGCCACATAGCTAAGGGAAACAAATTGGGCATCTGTGCCAGAATGCACTCAGTGGACAGAGCAATGCTATTTAAGTTTATAGGAGGTACAGAGTAAATAAATAAATAAATAAATAACTGACAGCAGGGTTTATTTTTAAGGGGATTAGAGGAGGTTGAACATTGTCAGAGGTGGTGTTTCAGTGACAATGACAAATGCAGGAAGAGAGAGTAAATAACTGCTGCTGGCAGGAGAAAAAAATTCCTTGGGGAACTGAGCCACATGATGAGAATTACATGAACTATAGCAGAATTCGAGAGCCTACTAAGCTGCAGTAAAAACCATAATAAACTGGCCAACCAATCGGATGAATATAAAGTCATCTCAGATAGGCACAGTGAAGGGTAAGTAAAGAGCAAGCCTAAATGGAGGCTTCAGTGCAAAAGAGTTGGCTCATTTAATAACGAAGTGATGCATGTTTGAGAAACCAGGTAGCAAAGCAACCAACAAATGCAGCATGTAGAATCAAATTTGCTCCTCAGTTAGAAATGCAATAGCACAGTGAGCCTAAATTATAGAGCTCTTCCTTTGTAGATAGGTTCCTCCTTCAGGGTCTGGTCTCCCAAGAAGATCTTAAAGAAAAAAAAAAGAAAATAAACAACTACTGATGATCTTCTTTTTGATGACCTTATTCTGCTGAACTATTGCCTTTTCCCCTAATTCACTTTAAACTACAGAAGATGGGTATTTATCCCCGGAGGCCTTTTTGAAGACTTGCTAGGGGAGACAGCAATAACATCCTGATGGCTAGAGATCAGCCCTAGGGAAGAACATCTAATGAAAGCAGATCAGTCTGTTCTAGATGCCTTCTTCACTTGCCTACTATCACTCCATGTCCAGCACTACCCCTAAAGCAAAGACAGGACAGGCTCTCATTACAAAAAGAAGCTGGAGAGCCTGTGAGATGCAATCCCATGTGCCCCGTCCACTTCCCTCATGCGTCAAGCTCATTGGGAAGTTTGGGGTGGCATCCCCACTTCCTGGGGATCTCATTCTTACACTGCTTCTGTTTGCAAATGCAATTTAATTGCTGAGTGCTGGGAGTGTTAAGGAAAAACAAAGTGAGTCAGCTTGGATTAAAAGCAGGATCTGTCACATCAAATGCATGTGGCATGTTTAACCGTTGGCTTTAAGAGCACCACTTTGCAAAGGTCTGGAATGCCCTGCAGTTCTTCTTCTTTACTATTGATGAGCCTTTACTGCTATTTTTCAGCTCAAAATCTGAATGAAGCCATGCCTTGCAAGCAGCCCAGTAGTGCATTGCAATAACAAGCAGAAAAATCCATCATTATGTTTCCTTAATGCCCTTGGTATCCTCCAGAAAACGATTATGCTGAAATCTGGATATAACAAACACTTTCCATGAGATGAAAAGATAAACAGTAAAACAAATGGATTTGCAAAAGAACAGCACTTGCTATGAACCATATGATAAGTTTGGTTCACCTGTATCAGCTGAACATTTTAATAAGCCTCACACTGGCCACACTTTGACCATGGGACCGCAACAGGAAAAAAAGCAGATTTGATGTATAGAAAGTGGCAGGTATTACCCCAGTGAGAAGATTTGACAGAGAAAGAGCTTATTGGTGCTGGTAATCCTACTCAGAATGAGCAGCCTAAGTTTCGACTGATTTTTCTCTCTTTTTTTTCAGTAGGACAAATAAAGTAACCCTTGTGCTGTGGTAGGAATTTGTGGGCAGATCAGGTTTGTGGCTCTTTACCACCATCAGCAGCTGATACCGCTTTAGGGGTGGACTGTTATGTCCTCACTCACATGGCTGTTACTTTACAATATAAAAATGTCTCCTCGAGTTAAATAGGACTGGCTGTCTTCTATGAAGAATAGAGTCAAATAAAAATACTCTGGATTTTTTTTTTCACTTCATGTCTTACCAACAGTCAGGTGTTTATAAATTATATGATTAGCCATAAGCTGCGTGGTTGCAAAACTGGAGTGGCAGAATTGACTTAAATTAGGTGCATTGCCACTGCTTAATGAGCTCTGCTCTAGCACTGAGGTGTTTTCATCAGAAAAATATGATTAGAACAAGCATTTTTCATTGTATGTTTGCATTTGTAAATGAAGAAGACCGTAGAAAGGAATGCTTGTCTTGTTAAGAATATATTCCCTTATCTTCTGGAAGTAAGCTGTAAGCTTAGTGTATGTGGCCTGAGCTATACATATGCATGGATCATTCAATGACATAAAAAACAAAGGGAAAGTGAGTGTGTTTCTACCAATAACGGGTGCAGAGCTCTTCTGATTTACAGGTTTGGCAGCTGTTTGTTGCTAACTCAGGGTTAATCTATTGTGTCTTGGGGACAGCTCCCCCGGTGACCCCCTGGTGATGGGTTAGGCATCCATAGGAACGTGATCCAGGCCTGTTTTTCCTGCTCCTGGACGTACCACTCAGGTAGACCTTTTGCAAACTGTGTGGATGACTTGCTGATCTCCTTGGAAAAATGCCAGTTTGGTGCTGGCTTCTGCAGTGCGGGCATTTCACCCTGTACTTGTGGAAAACCTCTTGCTGTGGCTTCAGCATGAATATCGAAACGTACCGGGGAGATCTAGAGTTGGTGGAAAATATTGCTGGGTTGAAGCAGTGTAAATTCATGCTGCTGGTGGGGAGAGGTTCAAGCAATCCTAACAGACCAGTCTGATCTCATCTCTTGAATTATCACGTTGTTCCCTTTCCCCAATATTAGATGCCATCCGTCTCTGTTTGAACCATGCATGTTACTCCAAATGTGCTTCCACGATAAGATAGTTATGGAGAAAATGAAAGATATTTTGAAATTTCAAAAGAAAAAAGGAGGAATTTCTCAGTGTCTGAGGCAATGCCTGTCCTGGGGCTGCTTCCCACCCATGTGAGTGCTTCAGGAGCGCCCGTTCTGGCAAAGCGCCGAGTTCCTTCACCTCCCACCGCATGCGTAGGAGCAAACTCTGAGTGTTGTTGTGTGGCTGCTCTCGGAGGGTTAAGAAGATGCTGTTTCTCCAAATACCTAGCTAATGTTTCCTCCTTGCGAAGGGTTGCTAAGTAGCAGTTTTTGCCAACCTCCTATCTATTATCAAAACCTAAGAATATAAATCCTGTGATTTGCTAAGACACCCCTGGTGAGGAAATGACTCTAGCCCTTTCAACACACAGAAAACTGAAAAACTGTTATTGCTAGGGAAAAAAAAAGAAAAAAAGCATTCATGTTAACATTTACAATCTGGGGAATAGAGGCTCCTTCCACTTTTATTTTTTTTTCTGCAGAACAATTTGAGAATTGCATTGAAATAGTCTAGTCTCCATGCAAATTTGATTTTTGACCTTTTGTGCTAATCGGAAGCCATGGTGCTAAAAAGCTGTGTACATTGCTGCGAAAAGTATGGCACAGAATTAACTAATACACCTTCAGTTCAGCTTTAACACACTCGAAGGTTATTGCACATCCTTCACTGTGTAGGGATCAAGATCTAAAGCACTAGAAATACTTCAGGCAGCTGTTACTAACTCGATGGAGAGCTCTGCAATATGTGCAGAATACCAGGCATTTTAAAGATAGTAGGTAGTTTTGGTCATTATTTGAGCTAGGGAATATACTGTAATAGACCTTAAAGGTTTGAGAAAATTATGGGCAAATTGATGTTAAATAGGTTGGGCACCCAGTTAAATAGTTAGGGTCACTTTTTAAAAGTATCTAGAGTCTGGTCAGACCCAGAAGCACACCTCGTTTGCACTCTTACAGCCTTCCAACGCTACGTTCTCTAGAAAATATTAAGCAAATTCTATACCCACCGTTAACTTGGTGCTCCTTATAAAATCCATTATTGGCAAGATCTTTTTCCCGATGGTCTCCAAATGTCTTCTTGATTCTTCTTTTGTGAGAAGATTCAAAGGTGCCTTGTACTCTAAGAAACCACAAACCTGCTTTTTGGGGTTGTTCATGTACATTTTGCACAGGGAATACAGCAAGGTGATGGGTGAACTGGGTGGGGGGAGGCAAAGTGATGGAGAGGACTGCAGGTGCAGATTGAGAGAGGGACCCTAAGAGGTCCTCCTGTTCTTTGCTCAGAAATCAAGGATGGCAGGGGGAATCCCTGACCAATCAGAGCCATTAAGTGAGTCAGCATACCTGAAAAGATTGTCAGCTTCCTACTTGACATCTTTTCCAAGAACTTTCCAACATCTTTGTTTCTGAAGCCCAGAGTCAGCAGATACTGCTGAGGAGGCAGAGAGGACCAGTCTGATGTCTGTGGCAAGATATGAAGTCCATGGGGATCTGGAATAGGACAATGAAAGCACCTTTTGCTATCACATTTCTTTTTGGTAGCAATGTAAGTTACTTTTCTGCAGGAAAAAAATAGGAGGCCCTAAGAGTCTAAAGAGGGTAAGAAATGCAACCTGAAAAAACTTGCCAGAGCAAAAGCTACCAGGCAGTCCCATCCATCTGGAACCACGCTCTAAAATTCCAAACTTTGCAACATTTTTCATCTACATTTTAAATTTTGCTGACACAAGTGATGAAATATGTTCTTCCCATTTATGCTCTTTCCAGAGCATAATTAGCAGAATGTGTTACTTCAGTAACACACTGTCCTTATTTTCTTTTATTAAAAGACGAGCTGCAGTTGCTCCATGAAATTACAAAGTCTGATTTCCTTGTGGATTTGGCTTTTTTTTTTTTTACTATCCCCACCACCATTGTAATCCCAGCTTTCCTGTGTGTTTTCCCTCATCTGGGGAGCGATTGTGTGTGCCACAACAGTCGAATTGTCTGCTCGGCTCTTCCCTCCCTCCGCTCGCCCTGCAGCAAATAAACCCAGATTGAAGGCCGGTGTCACTGCTCGCCGAGGAGCGCTCTGTCCTCGGCAGGCCCTGCTTTTAACATGCCAGGGGACGTGGCTGCCGTGACAAATGGAGGAGCCTGCTCAGAGCTCCCCGGGCTTCGCCCTGCATAAATCACACCGAGCGGAGCTGATGTTTCTCTTAGCGCATGTTGGGCTCCTGATGGCTTCTTGGGTTGGAAACGGGCTACATTGAGTGCTTTCATTTCAGTGTGTGCCTGCTTCTCTTCCTGGGCAAGCTTTGAAAGCAATTCAGTCCTTGCCATACACCAGAGCAGACCTACAGCTATCCAGCTATAGGATGTACCTATGGATGTAGCATTGGGGCTGCGTAGGAAGGTCCTTTAAAGTAATGTGCTCATGAGATGTCTGGTGTTTCAACTCCCCTACTCAAACAGGGCTCAGCTCAGATTTTACATTTCTCCTTCATGAGATAGGGACCCACAGGTCAAACGATCAGGGGTGCCTAGCTGGAAACAAGTTACGCTTGGTGGTGATGGAAGCTCTGTAATGTGGGGCAAGGTCGGAACAGATAAATTAAGAACCCACTACTGCTCCAGCTGACTTAGTGACCGCTGCTGTCAGTTATCGGTGTGTTGAGTCCAGCAGAACGACCCAAATCCTCTCTGTTTGAGAGCATTTCTGGGACAGAAGGAACCAGGCTGCTCGAGAGGTCCTGCCTGAGCTACGCTGCCCTGAAACGTACCCACAATGTGCTTGGTCATGATCATGGCTATCCAATTTAATTCCTAGAAACTCCTCCTAAAAAGGACCAGGATCAGGAAAACTTGGGTAAAACTGAAGCAATTCTTCTAACGGATAGATTTTTGTAAACAAACATCTCTGATAGCAGAACTCTCTCCCAGTGCTGTAGGAGCAGGTCCTACACTTCATCCTTTTTTTCCCGCCTTCTTTTTCCTTCTTGGGAATGAGTGAAAAAAATGGCCAGTGACACCTTCAGAAGCACCTAATGATTTATGAACACAAATCTTACTGTGTTTCAGTGCAAAACTTGCACATTTTTGCTTCTTAGGTGCTTTTGAAAGTCTTACCCTTGCTATGAATTGGGGGGTATATGTGAAATATGAATTTCTCTTTCTTTCCAATAAGATTCTGGGAGTTTTATATTATTCCTCTTTTAAAGCCAACACTTTTATTCCTGGAAGTTCTCCACAAAGTCACATCTGCAAGTAAACCAAAGACAGGCACTTTAAAAACTCCACGAGAAATGAGTTCTTGTTTTCCCTCTTTAAATCAACAAACCGAACAAAAACTACTGCCCCAGTAAAATCCCCCATATAGCCATGTTCTACAACTTGCAAAACAGTGATCTAGTTTTATAAGGATTTCCTAAAGCAGAGTGAAATAAACAGAACAAGTTTGCTGGGGATAAATATTTGCAGTTTTGTTGTAAACACTCGGTTTCCTAATGCCTATTTGTTTGTTTTCCAAAGAGAATTTCTTTTCCTCCCCAAAAGGTGCAATAGCTATGGTTTTGGAAGCCTTATTTATCTGCAAAGTGCCCTGGCTGAGCCGGTCTTGTCACAAATAAGCCTTTCAGCTGGAGCCTGGTGTAGCTCTTGCAGGAAGGTGACAGCCCATCAGCCTCAGGACCACCCCGCTGCAAGTGCCAGCAAGGGGCAAGCTCTAGATGTAGCTGGTGTGATGAACACAGATGCTTCCCAGCAGCTGACCTGAGAAATGCGTTTTTCCCTTTACGTTTTTCAATCATCAGCTCAAAGCCGAGCATTACCAGAGTCAACTATGCTCCAAGCCACCAGGTTAACGATCGGGAGAAATGCCTTCCAGCCCCCTGCCTTATTCCAAAATGTCATGTCGACTCCTCTTGACATACAGCTGCAGTCACCAGAATTTAAGTGTGTGTTTGCTGTGCAAGATGCCACCCTGCCAGGAGACAGTGTTGGGCTTCATAAAGCCTTTGCTTGCTCAGGATCCTGCTTGTCCTGAACAGCCTGGGGGAACCTGGCTGTGCAGTCACATCCCTGCAGCTGAGATGCTCTCCAAGGTGGTGATCAGTGCATTAGCACTTACTTATGGGAGGGTATTTCTAGAAATCAAAGGTTCTGCTGAAGGGCTAGTGACCTGTGGACATCCACTGTGATGGAGATGGGCCGGACATGGGCTGTGCTGTCTCCACAATACTCTGCAGAAGTACATTTGAATGAAAGATTTGTTGCAGTAATGGCAATCAGCCAGGAAACATAAGGTTTCGTGGATAAAAATCATCTTGGTGGGGATGAGCAGCATCAAGTCTGTGCTTTGCCTTGGTGCTGACCTGATTTCCCAAAACAAGTGCAATCATATGCAGCAAATCTCAGAGGTTAATTTTACCCCACAGAAGTGTGGAAATGTAGAAGCTCAAGCTGTTAATCTCCTTTTAGGTTAGCCACACTCATACAAACAGTATACAGTGCTCGAGAACACGTGAAATCTCCTGTTACCTGTATATATGTGCTCTACATAATCAGGGTGCTTTTTAGCAAAAACGTCCTTCATCTTGTCTATTTTGTCAGCCTTGACTTTTGTCACAAATGGTGTGTACATAACTGAAAAGGATTCTTCTCTAGTGACGGCTTCTTCAATCATAGCCTAAAAAGAAGGCAGAGAAGTGATACATTTCATGTCAGCTGATGGCTAGTTAAAATATTAAAAAAAAGAAAAATAATTACCTTCACAGATTTTATTTTTCCCTTTAATAATTGCACAGACATGCAAAGATAACATATTTTGGTCTTGAATATTAATTAGAGGGGAATTTAAATTAGTTCCAGAAAACATTGCCTATCTATACTCAGAAAATCAATTTAATGGAGATAGAACATTTGTAAACAGTTTTCAGTGCAGCAAGCCTATGTCTTCAATAAGGAGAAAGGTATTAGATAAATTATCTTTTAGATGAAAAGAAAAAGTGATTCTGTGCTCTCTGAAGGTCACATCTTTCATCTGTGGGCTTTATTCAGTCCTTGGGAGCTGGTTAAAGAATACTAAGCATTCGTATTACCCCTTGGGTTGGCATGAATCAGACACTGTGTCTGTACAGAGTATTAGCCTTAAAATATTGCATTTAAACACCATTTGCATTAAGAGTAAAATTCACTCCTGTGCAGAGGGCAACGCGAAGCTTATGAACCTTGTCATCCCTTAAAAATGACTCCGGTGATGCATGTGCCAGCCCTGTGCAGAGAGGGGGATTTCAGACCCAGCAGACCCAAACGAGCCGGTGCTGTGAGCGCTCGAGGAGGTGCCTGGCCGGGCACAGCCCCGCTCGGGACATTGCTGATCTCTGCGAGGGAGACCCGGCCGTGTCCAGTGCGGATGGACCGTCCTTCCAGGAGAGTCGGGGATCCGTGAGGCTGTGCCAGGTCATCTGGGCAAAAGCATAAACCTTCCCGTGATGCAAGGCCCTCAGATATGGTCTGATACTGCTTATTCTTGTTGTGTTTGTAGGCATGGAGGGTGCAGAAGTGAAATACGAATGGCACGGTTGCTCTGTGCAAGTGTCCTGCAAGCACCCTGGTGCTGTTATACAGGGTGCTCTGCCTCGTTGTTCAGAACAACTCTGGGAACCTGGTTGCGTTTTAGATCACTGCATTTTGTCCACCCATTATTGGGTATTTATTAAGCTGGGAGCAGCCTCAAGTGGACAGTATTTGGCCCTGGACAATTAACAAGCTTTAAATGTGTGTAACAGCAGCAAGACCACCTGGGATGGTCATAACGTTCCCTTGAGTGAGAGGAAGCTTTCTGCAAACACATCCCCATTATCTATGGCTACCTCTGCAGACCTGGAGGTACCAGACCAGAAAATAGCCAGTGTGTCTCCCTGCCAAGAGTTCAGGGACCCGTGAATGGAGCTGGGCCCTTTCTTCCCTCCAGAAATACCTCGCAGTCTGCTATGATTTATAGCAAAGTGATTTTGAGTTTTTGTATTTTGATGGACTTTAATTTCCCTATCGTTCAGGGCACTTACAGGATAAATAACAAAGCAATAGCACCCATAAAGTCTTCCAAGGTAAATTTTAAGAAAAGCAGAGGAGTAGTCAAACATGTAACTACTTGATTTCATGCGTAAATATAGGCACCAAATCAAAATTTGTGCTTGATAGTGGGTTTTCTGCTGGCTCTCTATAGTTCAGCAGCCATTTTCTAATCAGAAGTAATCTGAATATATGTCTGGCTGTATCTATCCACTTCAGATGTAAAATATATGGAGTGAGGCAGTGAGACAGAGAGGTGGGCGGCTGGACCAGACATATTCTGTGGGTGTGGGGGAATAGCTTTCCTGGCATTTGCCTGCAAAGTTCATTTTTGGATTCATCATCCCTGAGAGCAGCTCAAAGTCATGCCTATAATGTCTCTGCATTGCCAGGTACCCATAGATACCTGCACAGCATGCAAATAGTGACTGGCTCAGGGGACAATAACGGTAAAATGTCAGGCAAAGGGGGGAAAAATAGACCCGTGGTTTCTGGTCAATACTGCTGGTGAAGGTATTACTACCCAAGAGCATTTTTTTCCCCCAGGCTACTGACCCTGGACATAGATGCTATTTGTTTTATTATCCTCTTGGATTTTTATGGGCTAAAGTCTTTAAGGATATAAAACTTCAACCCATAAAAACTTTGGAGCAGAAAACTTTATACGATGAAATCCCTGAGGATTTTTCTGCTTAAGCCTTTATGTACTGAGGTCCCTATCCACAGAGAAATACCTGCCAATGTGTCCAGGAAATGTAGAACATCATGTCTATCGTGGCATACACCATGCAGATATTCAAGATACAGTCCAACTGTGGAGGGAATTACAAGGCCCCACTGGACTCTTCACCAGAGTCTTTTGAGAGTGGATAGGAAAACTGTTTTTCCCATTTTCATGTGTTTTTGTGTCTTTCCACCAGAAGTGTTATTTGTGCAAACTGTTCTTTCATACATGAGGATATTGCTGCTATAGACTTGGAGTGGAAGAATTGCCAGGCTCCTTCTTGAGTATGGAGGTAGCATAAAGCTTATTTCTAAGCTGCAGCTATGGAGAAGGATGATGGTTTTCCACATATCTGCAATTCCACATATTGCAAGTGAAATCTGCCATGTTATCTCATCAGGTGGTGTAACAGTCCAGACTTCCACCCCAGCAGAGTCTGAGAAAACAAAGACCTTAAGATGCCCTTAAACCATAGGAAAGACCTTCTCTAGCAACATAAGGACTGTCATTGATCATACAAGTTCATCCAATGGGGTGGTTCCTCTCAGCAGTAGACCAAGTCTATTGCTTCAGGGAAAATTAAAAAGAAAAGCTCTTTTAAGAAGCTGCAAAATAATCTGATCATAGGGAAGATTTTCTTCTGTAGTTATGGGTTTGACTCATGGCCTGCCACGTCAGGAGGTTTATATCTCTGCTTTGGAAGTGTGTGGAATCAGAGAAAGTCTGCAGAGAAACCATCTGGAAAACAAGTATTGCAAGGAGTATTTAAGTTGTCAGCTCTTCTACTGAGATATCAGTTAGTTCTTTCACAAAACAGATTCATTCACAAGGTTTACGAGGAATGTAAATGCTATCATGGCAGTTAAAAAGTCAAAAGACATTCCTAAACCAAACTTTGTTTTAATGAAAGGCTTAAGTAGATCTTCCTTAATTTGAACTAAGACCATGTATCCCTTTGCTCTAAAGCACCTTGGCTCTGCAATATCATTATCCTCTGTCATATCTAGTAATGGTACATCTCCTAGACCTTTTAATAAACCCTAAAGTTTACTCTAAACAGTCTTATATTGTCCCTTCAATGCCCACTAAAATTCTGTTAAGAGCTCATAAAATGAATAGGTAGATGCACAAGAAACAGAGTTTTCCTGTGCCAACTTTTGATGGCAAATGATATAACTACTGCAATATTTTTATGAAGCTTTTGCCATTTTGCCTCACTTATAGCAGATACAGAAGAAGAAAAATGGCACACTAGCTGCAAATTCTTCATAACAGTGACAGTAGCTTTCTCTGCTACAGTCCCTAACCTTAATCCTCTTTAACTACAGAAAGATTTAATTTTGAAAATCCAATTATCTTGACATCTAGAATTAGCCAAAAATTTAGATATCTTTCTAGTGCCTTATCTTGCAGCTGCAGTGCACGCTCAGCCACCATCTCATTTACATTACAGTAGGAATTGATGCTTTTATTGATGATTTTTATTAATGTAAGGAGATCAGTCAGGGCAGAGCCATTAGCCTCTTCTATGAACTGCTTCCACTCTTGGGGTGGTAGGTAGAATTACGGGTGCGCTGCAGTGCAACCTATGCGCTTTTCTCTGTATCTTGCCAGCCATAAAGAAATATCTGGCAGCCCTGCCACTAAGTCTGCTGCTGTTGTGATATGAATATCTTCTCACCAGCATGATCCTCTTACACTATTTTTATTTTTTTCTGTGGGAAAAGTAAGTAGACTGAATGCCAGAGCATATCTTTTTCTCAGTATGTTTATAGCATGAATAAATTATGTATTATACAATAGAGGAGAACTTTCTGCTTATCTGCCATGTAATGCCTTCCCATTAATGTAGGCCACGTGAAATATCAGCTTATTTAAGTTCTTAAGTTATTAATGTATTTAAGTCTTTGCCAGTTATTTTGTATGCAGTATATTTTTAAAAGCGGATTTACGGAGCAACATGGAAATAGACCCTTGCATTCTGCTGAGTTGTAAGCGGCAGAACCAGACACATTCCAGATGGGTTACCTTAAACTCTGAGATTTATTGATATTTCAGTACGAGCCTCTTTATGTTTGAGAGAAAAGAAATCCATGCTTTATATCCTCCCAAAGCTATCACTGTTCATTAAGGAAGTGCACATGGAATAAAAGGGTTAAGGAAAGGATTAGCTGGATGCTGCTAGTGCAGGTCCCGGTACAAGCTGCAAGCAAATGGCAAAGTGGGAACCCAACTGCGACGCAGAAACCCAGTTCTAGTTTGGGGACACTCGCTGTCCTTGGGTCCCATCACTAACATGTGTGAACCATGGGAGACCTCAACATCGGTGTCACCCACCACCAGCCAAAGCTCCTCCCCTTCCACCTTGCCACAGGAGGGAACGTGAAGCACTTTGGTTTTCCCTAACTCTGGTTACAGGCTGATCCTCACACCCGTTGATGCCAGCAGGGGATGGGGCAGTGGATGAGCAAAGAGCAGCCTCCTTGAACATGCCAGTTATCCTTGATGGGTAGATATTTGCCCAAACCCCACCGCTTTTAGCCAAAAACAAGCTGCTTTCAACCAGTTTGTTAATGCTTGCCCTTTCTTAAGGATAAGAGGGTTTCCATAGTGAGAAACACCATAATTCCAGGGAGGCAATCTGCCACGGCTTTGTGTGGAGCAGCGGGGCTGCCCGGCTCGCTCCGGGAGATGCCGTTTGCCGAACACGAGTGCCCTGCAGGTCCTTGGCTAGTGCTGCTCCCGCAGCAGCAGGACCGTCTCTCTTTGCAAGGGGGGATTATGCAGTGTGCTCAGTCAAACGGCTTTGGGAGCCTTGGAGAGATGTCTTGGATCAGACGGGCAGAGCGAAAGGTCAAGCATTGCTGAGTGCTTCATGGGAAAGCAAT